CCATGTGGTCACCTCCGGGGCAGGCGGGAATCGAACTCATGCTGAAGTAGCTTTAGCTTCTCAGTGCTGTGCTTTAACCCGCTGCGCCACCAGGGAGGGCCGGTATTCTGTTTTTAATTTCAGATTCTACTTGTTCATTGATAATATACAGAAGTTGACTTTTATAAATTCATGTAAAACTCTTCAACCTTGTTATAGTTGTTTATTAATTCCATTAGTATATTTTTGTCAATTTTTTTTTGCATTTTCTGTATAGATGTCCCCGCAGTCTGTAAACAAAGACAGATTCATTTCTCACAAAAAATTACCCTTTATTTATTTTTTAAAAGAAAATATTTTCCTTATTGCTTTAGTTCTAATTTCAAGTATAATGTTCAGAAGAAATAGAGGTGAGAGGAAACACCTGGGCTTTTTCCTGATTTTCATGGGAAAACTTCTAATTTTTCATCATTATGTGGGCTGTTAGGAAACTTTAGGGTTTTGTACATTGTGTAGGATGTTAGAAAGCTTTAGGGTTTTGTAGATATTCTTCACAAGTTGAGGAAATTAATGTCATTGAGAAACCTCTCACTACTGAGAGTTTTTATATGAATGGGTATTTTATTTTCATCTGCTTTTTCTGTATCGATACTGATGTGATCGTGTGAATTTCCTCCTTTCTTCTTTCATCTGATGGTTTACGTTTTAGTGTTGAACCAGCCTTGCATGCTTGGGGCAAATTCCAGTGGGGCACAGTGTATTTTTTATATATTATTGGATTTGACTTATATTTTGTTGAAGATGTTTACTTTTTGTTCATGAGATCTGCATTCTATCATTTTCTTTCCATGTCATATCTTTGTCTGATCTCAGTATTAGGGTAATTCTGGACTTTCAGAAGAGTTAGGAAATAATTCTGCTGCTTCCATCTTCTGAAAGAGATTGTAGAGAATTAGTATAATTTCTTCCTTAAATATTTCATAGCTTTCACCTGTGAATCCACCTGGACCTGGCATTTCTGTTTGGAAGTTATTAATCATTGAATCAATTTCACTCATGTTATTTCTTTCTTGTATGAGTTTCGGCAATTTGTGTCTTTTAAGAATTGGTTCATTTCATCTTGGTTATCAAATTTGTTCATAGTGTTCCTTGATTCTCTTTATATTGCTTATGGCATCTTCAATGGAAGAAGATTACTTTCACTTCTTATTAGTAAACTGTGCTTTCTCTCTTTTTTCTTAGCTTGACTACAAGCTTATTGATTTTGTTATCTTTTCAAAGAATAAACTTTGGGTTTCACTTATTTTCTTGATTATTTCCTGTTTTCAGTGTCACTGATTGTTTCTTTAATTTTTATTATTTCTATTCCTCTTTCTTTGTATTTTTTTTAAATCAGTAAACTTTACTGAAGATACTTTCATGAGTTTATTTGTTAACCAACTCTCAAATTTCTTCTTTTTTTGTTCTTAAAATTTTCAAATCATAGGATTTGAAAATTAAATAATTCATAGCATTAATTCAGTTCTTTATTTCCAAATTATGTTTATTGAGGTAAGGGGGCTTGCATCATGTATTTGTTTTTGGGATTATAGGTTTAAACTTCTACAAATGTATATTCAGGTGATGCCTATCTTTGACAGTTAACTTAGATTAATGATTTTTAGATCTTTTTTCTTTTCTTCAAATAAAAATTGTATGCATCTAAGGCAACAACATGGTATCTATAGTGAAGTGATTACTACACTCAAGCTGATTAACACATCCATACTCTGACATAGTTACCAAGTTTTTACTTTGTCTTTGGAATAAGTGCCCCAAATCACCTTTCTTGGCAAATCTCTAGGGTGTGATGTATTATCGACGCTAGTCTTGATTCTGTACTGCAGGTCTTAGCTTTACACGACCCGCATTAAGTGGATCTTTGTGCTGTTGGCAACACCTGCCTGCTCCCACCATCTCCCCACTCTGGCAACTACTTTTCTTCTCTCTCTTGTGAATTTGATTTTTTAGGATTCCACATATACGTGAGGTCATGCAGTTTTTTTTTCCATGTCTCTCTCATCATTTAATGTAATGTCCTCTAGGTTAATCCACAGGGCTGCAAATGATCTGATCCCCATTCTTGAGGCTGAGTAACATTTGGCTGTACATGTGTTTCCTCAGCCACCTGTCAACAGACCTACCCAGGTCTTCGTTCCCAGGCTGTGTGCTCAGTGCTGCCCCCAAGCTTTGCTTTTGCTGTATCTATTTTTGAAAGGAAAAGTGAAACACTTAATGATGGGATCATAATTGATCAAATGCATATCTCATGGGCTGAGAAGCAGTCACGGACATATGTTGACAACATGTCATATGGAAGATGTTAGGGTTGTCTGACTGTGTTCGTTAAAGGTTATTAAGAGCTCAGAAAGACCTGGTCAGCTATTTGTATGACTAACAGATTGGTCAGGATTATTTAGTTTTTCTCAGGACTTATTTCTAGTGTCTTCAACATTCACAGACATTGATATATCGCTATCATTGAGTGAGTAAGTAAAGTCCTGTCCTAATTATTTAAGATAAGACGAAGCACTGATCAGGGAGGGCCATGTCTAATGAGACAATGATAGATATTAGTTTGGGTTTTCACTCTTGATATTTATAGGAAGAGAATTTCCTAGTTTGCTCCCGTTTCTGATAAGGTGCATGTAATTGACCCAGTGGTGTTTTTATTGGATTGCTGGCTGCTTTACCATTGAACTTTCTTTATTAGTGAACATATGGTCAAATAAATTAAACAAATGAAACTAAACATTAAATTAACAAGTTTTTGAATGGATAAATGAAAATATAGGATCAACTTTGAATCATCATTGAGAATGGGATTAAATGCCCATCCTGTCAAAGAAAGATCCATTAAAAAATTAGTTATTCTATTTGGAGGTCCCTCAAACTGCTCAACATGGAGCTTCCCTACGACCCAGCAATCCCACTCTGAGGCATCTACCCAAAAGACACAAAAACACTGATTGAAAAAGATACCTGCACCCGCATGTTTACTGCTGCTTTATTTACAGTTGGAAAAACATGGAAGCAGCCCAAATGCCCAAAAGTAGATGACTGGATAAAAAAGATGTGGTGCATATATACAATGGAATATTACTCAGCAACCAAAAAAGAGAAACACATGTCTTTTGCAGCAACTTGGATGGAGCTGGAAAAGATCATGCTTAGTGAGATAAGCCAGAAAGAGAAAGAAAAATACCGGATGGTTTCGCTCATAGCAGGAGTATAATGGCCCAGGCAAGAAAATAACAAAAATAATGAACAACCATATACCAGAGACATTTTGCGGGGGTGGATGGGGAATGGTGTGACAAAAACAGGGGCGGAGGGAGGGAAGTGCACGGGATTATGGTGATGGCACAGGGGTGACTTGGTGATGGGAAACCCGCGGGGATTACAATTGAGATGGGAAAAAAATGTACAAAATGATGTAAAAATAAACTGTTATAAAATAAACTAAAAAAATTAGTTATTCAGTTAAAACTGTCAAAACATGAAAATATATTTAATAGACATTATTTTTATCTTTAGTGGTAGATTCAACAGTGGCTATCATATTATTTAAAAGTACAAGTAAAACATCGGACAGATGGAAAAGGACCGAGGTTCTTTTTATTGCCAGTTAACTTCTATCCAGTTTATTCTATCTCCTAACGTACAGTACCAATCTAGGTTAATTCTGCTCTTTCCTCTGCAGAATGACCATAGGACTGTGGGCTCATTCATTTTCTAAGAAAAAAAAAATCGTCACAATTAGCTCTGTGGGTAAAGAACAGAGACAAATGTAAGTAAGACTTCAAGTTCCCTTCCTGGGCTGGGAGGTTTTGTTCTGGAGTTTTTAGTGGTCCTTGACAAAAATCAGTGTCTGCATGAGAAAAAGAAATGCCCGCATGTGGACCAGTGATGGGAGTACGTCATAACTCAAACTGATATTCGGTCTAATTTGACACAACTGACATCATTTAAAAACACAGAGTGGTCATCTCACTCATGTCCAGGAACTTTCCCAAGGCAAGCGTTCCCAGCTTGGCAGCGTCCAGGCTGACCGTGCGGCCCTGCAAGGCGGTGGGACAAGCTACCACTAAAGATGTTGGCTTCCTCACCTTCTATTCAGCTGACTACACCCTGAGCACCTTCAGTAAGAAAAGCCACAGGAGGACCAGTGGCGAATGAGGCTTCGCTGGGAGACGCGGCCATTGACCACCCACACATGTTCTCTGAGGTCCATTGCCAGAGGGGATCTAGTCTGCCTGCCACTGGCAGGAAGATCTCGGTCCCGGAATTTCATGATCGTATTGATTCCTGGAGCAGGGACTAGACGAATAAATGAAGACATAGGGAAGACAAGTGCACCTGGACCGATGATGAGCACCATGGGGTATCTGAAACCGGAGTTTTGATTAAACCCATATGCCACTCTGAGGCCCGCTTTCAGGAGACACAGTTGTTCCCGCTGTGGGGATGAGCCTGTGCTCTGCTCATTTGTGCTTTTGCGTTCTTGAGCAGAATTATATTTTTATTATGTAATCAGCCCACCGTTTGAAAGTGCATCAATGAATGAATAAAAGAGGAGGAGAAATCATGCACCTTTTTTAAGGAATATAATGAGATGTGGGTTAAAATTAAAATCTGACGGAGATTAAAAATCCCAATAAATTCCTAGTCAGGGTTCCTACCCCTCTGGCAGGGGTGTATGGTCATGTCCACACCACGGTCTACAGTTTCGTTGCTGTGTTGGTGGAGGCCGTTTCACTGTTTTATGAAGGAAATGAAACACCTTACTCCTATAAACAGTCTGCTCAGTAGCCGTATAACCCAGAGCTCCATAGAGGCTGACGATGAGCATGTATTTTGCTTGTTCTATTGGGTTTATTGAGGTGCCACTGGTTTACAGTGCTGTGTATGTTTTAGGAGTAAAGTGTGTTAGCACACCACACCTCTGTCTCCCACCAGCGGGCTCCCTCCCTTGTGCATGCACGCGCCTACTCGCCCTCCCCTCTGGGGAGCCTCATTCTCGCAAGCAGATTTCAAGGGATTATTTTTGTTTGTTGTTGGCTGTTCCGTTGGTTTGTTGTTTTATATTTGACACAGAATTAAAATAATCTCATGCCTGTCTTTCTCCTTTTGACTTATTTTGCTTAGTAGATACCATCCAGTTCCATCCATGTTGTTGCAAATGGCAGGATTTAATCTTTTTCCTTTTTTACCACTGAGTAGTATTCCAGTGTGTGTACATGTACACACCACATATTCTTTATCCTCTGTTTAGCATTTGGATTGCTTCCATAGCTTGGCTACTGTAAATAGTGTCACAGTGGACTCAGGAGTGTGTGTGTCCATGTGAATTAGTGTTTCTGCCACCTTTGGATAAGTGACTAGGTCTGGAATTGCTGGACTATGTGTTAGATGTACTTTTGAGGTTTTTGAAAGAAACCTGATGAGAATGTTTACATCCAGTATTTTTAAAAGCTAATTCTTATTAAAACCATAAAAAGAAATAAATCTGTTGTGGACAATAATGAGTATGGACAAAGATTTTGCCCAGAGTTCTTGTTCAGTGTACACTAAAATTTTTGTATCATTCAGTGTATATTGAAATTTTTATATAAGACAAACAAGGTATAACTTTATATCTGAGTGTACTTTTTAAAAGTCAGCCCACCCCGGGCCAATTAGGAACACATATTTCCATGTAGAGAAGACTGATTCATCTTGTTTTCCAGCAACAACAAATACTCTGTGAAAAATTCTAGACTCTTCTGTGTTTTGAAAGGTGCACCTGGACATTTCTAAGTACAGTAATTTGGTTCCAGGTTAATGTTTATCCATTTTGAGGTTTCTTGGAAAAATGAGGACATGGTATTATTATTCCCAGAATAATAAAATAAATCAGTGACTGAAGCGCAGAAGTGCATATGGTGCGGGTGGATGAGATTGTACCATGAACAAATTTAATATGTCCAGGTTTGCACAAATAGTCCAATAAAGAGAGATGGACTCTCATTTTTCTCATGTGCTCTGCTTCCGAAGCAGCAACTTGAGCCAGCTACTTCTGTTACGGTTTTTATTTCATGTAGAGCAGTGATTCCAGTCATATTCAAGTCAGTGTATTCTAAGTAAAGAAAAGTGTGATTCTTGGGGAATGACCAGGATGTCCCGTGAAGTAGGGTTATGACTGCCCTGGGGCTCCACAGAGGTCAGCGCTGAGAAGAAACTGTATTGTCGGTGTTTTTAAATGTAAGCTTCTGCCCCTTTGTACGCCCCGTGTAACACGCTGATTGAATCTTGCACTAATTGTGAAGACCGTGGCCGTGACTTCTGGGGTGACGGAGTGTATGAGCGGCTGTAAGTGAATATCTCCACTGATTGTTTTAATAAAGTGGTTGAGTAGTCATAATCTTCAGGCCGCCCCCACTAGCCCAGATCGACGGTGGGTCACCTCGCGCACCAAAGGCCAGGTCATATATTTTCAAAGCAGGTCACTTCCTGTTTTATGCTCATTCGCTTAACGCCTTTCTTCAATGTAAAGGTCAAAGTTGTTAACTCAAGACGGGAGGGTCTTGGGGGATGACAGACAGGTGTCCGTGTTTCCAGTTGCAGGCTAGGAGGGCAGGCCTGTCGTCGGTTGTCGGTGACACCCACTCTGATCTGTGTGACATCCATCGGAAAGAACAGGTGGAAGTCAAGCGTCAGTTGGGGCTCATGAAGACTGACTTGGAAAACAGGTTCAGCTGTGAAAAATCACCAGGTTTGCCCCCTGAGCAGGGGCAGGGAGGACCTTTGGTTCTACTTAGGGCTTTTTGTTCCCAGTTGTGTGTCTTAAAGGTGATCGATTGTGTGGTTATGATGCATGAGTAGATGCATGAATACGTGAATGAGCTCAGGAAGGCGAAAGTGATCGATAGGGAGTGGGGGTGGAGGTGTCTGGGTCAACACGTCCCATCCAGCCCTCAGGTGTCTGAGGCCTGACACGGGGCGGAAACTGGCAACGTTCTCTGTAGAGAATTGTTAATCATACAAGTTAGGAAAATTCAATAAACTTGCTCCTGGGCTTCTGTGCTTCGTGTATGTGGATTATGTTCTTTACAAGTGAAGCAATGTCTGAATAAATAAAGGGTGTGTAGGTAAACGGCAGAGAGGTCTAGGCATGGAACAACGGCTCGGGGGGACAAGCGCTGTCGGGATTGACGCGATTCTCCAGTAGAACGGACAGGTTGAGCCTATTTTTTTTTTTTTTGTATGAAACACATTATTATCCATAATTGAGGATACATTTTGAGTTTTTATAATTTGCTGAGTTTTTTTTTTATTATTAAAAGCAGGGGAAGTATTTGGATTGGTCAGTAATACATTAAATAAGCATACATTATAAACCAGCTATAGATGTTTCTATAGGTGAATATTTATAATCACTATAGATCTTATTCTTGGATTAGGTGTTAGACTTATTGTGTTTATTATATTCTTATTATTTTATTTTTGTGGCAGTGAAGTAGGTCTCCATTTTTGTATCTCCTCCAGGGATTATAGATTCAAACCTCTATAAATGATTATTATTTTTAAGTAAGAATTTTAAGTAGGATTAATAAAAAGTTGTACTTTTGAGCCAAGGATTATTGCTATCTAGTTCTGCCTGATGAGCAAGCACTGGAAAATTGAAATTTAATCTCTATCTGCTTTTTCCTCTCCAGAGTGAACACGGGACAACTGATCTAATCATTTAATGCAGAATCGTTATGAGCAAGAGCAGAAAGAATAATGTAAGTAAGTCCCTTAGTTCATATGCTTTGGACAGTCTGTTCTCCAGGTGCTCTCTGGAGAATTTATAAGTAACCATTGAACCACACTGTTTTGGATGTGCGTCCTATGTCCTTGAATTAACGAAATACTCCAATGGAGTATGGACAGTGATGGTGGGGTGCTCAATACCCCAAGTATTGCATTTAATCAAGTCACAGGTCATTTGGAAAGAGGATAGGAATGGTTTTACTTATGCTCTGAACAGTTTAAAATTATTCTTTATTTTCTAGCACATTTTAATTAAGCGCTCCAAGAGGGCTAGAGTTGGCCGATAACACCTGGGGCACGCAGGGGTGACAGAAGGGGTGATTTCATTACTTTTCATTGAACCACTGTTGACATGTCGGTGAATTAAGTAGAGTGGGCCATGCAGGCAGTGCGGCTGCATGTGGCTTGGTCCAAAGCCGGGGTGCTGTGCATTCCCAGGGGCCTACCCCCACAGCTAAGAGTTGACATGGGGTTTGTGCACTTCATGGCATAGGAACGACAGGCCAGAATCGTGTTTCTGGGGTCTGGTGTTTCTACCTCCACACTGTGAGCCCGAACGTGGAGCAAGGGGCGAGTGTCATGGGGTTGCTGAAACAAGGATTCTGATGAGCCCCACCCCACCTCTGAGGACCATGCCAGAGACCCCTGATTATTCTTTTTGTGGGAAAGTGGTCCACAGGACCTTTTTCTTGGGTTTTTGTAACTTGGGGTAGGAATTGCATAAAAATAATAAAATTAGCTACAAGTAGGAGAATAGGTGAGCAAAGGAAGATTGAGAAATTTCGCATTTTGCTCTTAAGACAGGTGATGAAACACAGACCATGATTCAATCAATGTGGAGATCTTAGTGCCAGTCACTTAGTTAACTGGGTCCCGCTGGGGTAGCTGAGGTGCTTACAGCTGTGGTAAGGCACCCTGGGCCATGCTTCCATGAGCATCCATGTTTCTGCTTTGTGCTGAGGCCAAGGAAATGCGTGCAGATGCATCACTGATTGAGAAGCTGAGGTTGAGAGGGAGTGCACAGAGCAATGGTGTGATCATTTTATACGAGAGAGCTTTGCAGTGTTATGTGAGCAAATAAGCACTAAAGAGACCTGTTTGCCATTGGTGTGGGTCATGATATAAAGGCCAGTGCAGACATTCTCAGGGCACTGCTCAGAGATGGGACTCAATTGAAGTGAGTGGATGTTTATTTTTCACAAATCAGTTTCTCTAAAATGGCAGTGAACGCTGCATCACCGGGAAACATGCATTTGGGCATACATACCATGATCGCCACATTTTACTGTATAGCTGTCCCTGGGCACACAGCTCTGGCTTTCCGGTGTAGCTGGACACTTGGGAGTCAAAGCCAATACCGTGTTGTGAGCCAAGGTTCCTGCAATTGAAAAAAAAAAAAGGAAAAAACAATAGAAGTTTCAGTTATTGTACAAATTTTTTAGAATTCTCCAAAAAATGAAGAAGTGGTCTCATTAGCTCACAAGTCATTCAATCAACGAGTTTGTGAATTAGTAAATATACACAGTAGTTAGCTGTGCACCATTGGCAAGATTTGCTGTGGATTGACCACCCTGGACCATCGTCTGCAGTCATATTTCCACACAAAAGATGGCCTTGGCATGGCCTGACGTGGATACCAAGACACGTGGCGATTCCTCCTGCTGGCTGCTAGCTTCAGTAGCTTTCATTCCATTATTTCAACTGAAAACGGTACAGATTAATCAGTAGAAAGTAGAGCTCTCTCTTAATGATGAGAGTAGGATTTGACTGATTGATGATGGCAAAGCTATGTTTCATTGGAGATACTAAATGGAGTCTGAGTGGCTTTTTCCTTCTCAGAATGGACAGTACCAGATTTTGTTATTATTTCGTGGTGAAGATCTGGCCTTTTTCTTCTTCATGTAGAGAGACAAGAGATCACCATAAGTGATCATCAAAATCCGGTTGTTCGGGGGTTGGTCTGGGCAGTCGTGACTCATTCTAGACATAACCAGTTGAAGCCATCATTCACGTGGTCAATCCATTCATCCTGACTGAGCTCTTTAAGACAATAAGATCAAGTATATGTCAGTCATTCTGGGAACATTTTAATATCCCACTAACTTTTATACCACAGTGGACTTAAACATTGTCTTCAGTTATTGTTCTAGACTATGAGTTCATTGAGGGGAGGATAAAGAAAATGGGAAATGCTACTTTTCATTGGTTGTGCTACAACATGGTAGTTCGTTGTACCGTCTTCAAACTATGGGTGTTCAAGGAAAGTGGTTCAAGTGTGAACCGATGACTAACAGGAACTGATATGTTGCAAGGAAATGGAGTCATTCATATTTGCAATGCTCGGTTGCATTGTATGAAAAGAGCTAGCTTTGTGAGAAGTGAAATTTCAGATATACCCTCCAGAATCTGGCTCTTATTTTCCTAAGTGTTATGCATGGATTGAATTATTAGGGTGAGTCAAGGAATAAGCTCGAAGCAATCTATCAAGCGAGGCCCAGAACAGTAAGTCTGGCTCCGTGATGGGTGCGTGGGGGGCATCTGAATGAAATGCATTGATCAGATCCCGTCTGAGGCCCATTGAATCTATGAGAAGTTAGTTAGTTGCTTGTAGAAGAAGTTAGAACTGTTCACAGGTTAGATCCTTGATCTCTTGTTCTCAATGTGCGTTGTATTAGGATGAGCCACCAATGCATGAAGGAAGTGTAAGTGGTCAGGAAGGCGATGCCTACCCTATGGTGGAAGGACCCCAAGGGTAAGACTGCTCTCACTGCGTTTGTGAAATTCTGAGTGCAGACATGTTTCTAAGTCTGACTTTCATTTGGGAAGATAGCAATAGGTCAACGTGAACTTTAGTGTTGAGCTGGGTAGGTGGTGAGTTCAGGTTGCTTGCCCCCTTGTGAGAAGAAACAAATATTTATGTAATTGCTTCATAAATACTCAATATAATAAATACATTAAATGATAATATAACAAATCACGATGAACAAATAAAATTTTAGTAAATGAGAAGTGAACCAAAAAATAAAATGCAAATGATTGAGTTTGGAGCAGATCTTATGAATACTGAAAATGTTGAGTAGGTTAATTACGAATCCTCATGTTAAATGATTTTTATCCAAATAGAAAAATGTAAGAGAATTTTATGAGTGGCCTTTTAAAGGGATTAGTGACTGGGTAGCTGTTAGTGTCACTAAACATTCACGAGCAGTTTTCAGGGTTCACTAGTGCTTGTGCTATTAAGTTGAGTAAAAGCTGACTGAACACCTCAGCCATGATTGAAAGGCGTGCTGTGGAGCGTGTGGGCCAGGGCAAAAGTGTGCCATCCTGTGCTACCCTTCAGTAGCGACTTCAGTAAAACAGATCCAGACCTTCTTCCTTAAGAAGGATCATGTAGCCCCAGTCTACAACCACACCTTGGCATTAACACTTAGCTCAAGTTAATGGGGCCTAAAAAGTTCAATTCTTCACTAGTGCGAATCACACTTTCTGTCCTGTCCGGTCAGCACCATGTCGGGTCATGCTGGTGAGAGAGTTTCCACTTCTGCATTCAGGTCTATGAACTTAGTGTCAGGCCAGCAAGTCACATGGACAATTATTTAGTTTTGGGTAGCAGAAGGCTCTACTATTTAGTGTTTTGTTTAGGAAAAAATGAGATAATGAAATGATCTCCAGAGCATTAAATCCACAAATAAATTAATTCATCAATAAATACTTGTAATAAAGTACAGTGTAGTATTGACCAGATTCTGCTGTAAAGTAAGAGTTTAAATTCATCCTACTTTGTAAAAGGTTTCCTTATTGAAAAGCTGTCTGGCTTTATTGCTGCTTGGCAAGTGTATCTAGCAGGTATTATTAATAGCTGTAGATCTTCTGTTGGTTCAATTAAAAGGTCTTCATTATCTTAGTCCTTCTGAACATTGAGCGGTCAGGTGAATTGATAATGAAAATGCACACAAACCAATGTTTATGGCTCTGGTAACAGGACATCTACTTAAAAGTCTAAATGTATACTTTTCTTTTTTTTTAAATCTACCTTTACTTCTTGAATGAAGACATGCCAGTGGGCAGTCATTGTCCAGCCTTGGCTCTTGAGGACCGTAACTGTTACTTCCGTCCAGAAGAAACAACGTAAGTAGTGTCTCGTCTTGGTTAGTTTGGCTGGTTCATGTATTGTCACTGAAGTAGTTCAGTAGCGCCCCCGACTAGCTCCATCCCAAAAATAAACCCAGGAACACCAAGTATTCTGTTTTAAAGCACGAGCTTAACTTCATCCTATTTTGTGGAAGGTTTCCTTATTGAAAAGCTGTCTGGCTTTATTGCTGTTTGACAGGGGATCTAGCAGACATTAATAATAGCTGTAGGTTTCTTCTGTTGGTTCAATTAAAAGGTCTGGGCCAATAATGAGAAAGAGCTGTGTGTCAAGGAACAGAAGTAACTTGCTTCACCAAAACTGAGGGTCCCTTTTAAGTAAGATGGAAGGCATTCAGTTACTCTTCAGAAGTAGTTGCTTCTCTGTTATTTCTCCACCGTAGGTCACTTCAGTGGTCCCATATTGGTTTTTAGAAGAAGGTAGAACATACAACTGGGGTTTGAACGTAGGATGCCATTTTGATTTGTTTGTTCATTATGCCATGTTTGAAATCCATGAGCTAATTGAACATGGCCTAATGACGAACCCGTTTTGGGTAGAAAGTAAAGTTTATTCTGAGATCTGTCTATTCCAAAAGTTCTGTGAAAATGAGTTTAAAGGCAAATTATGGTTAAATCAAGGCTCCTATTTTTGGGAGTTTATGATTCATGAGAAAATGAAGGCTCACAGTTAAGGAGAAATAGTCGAGACCGGACCGATGATGAGATTGGAGGGTGTCTGAATCAAAAATCTTGATTAATGCCATCTTTAACTCTGAGGTCCTTTACTTAAGATTGGTCTCCCTTTTCAAACTCTATGGACATCAACTATTAGCCAAAGCTCAGAACATGCTAGGTATTTTTATCATTGGTATACACACTGAGAGATAAGTTCAAGTGCTCATTTTATCATTTGAAATTAATAGTTGAGTCAAGAAATAAAAAGGGCTACTGTTCTAGGCACAATGGAAAATAGGACCCAGTTAACTTTATGATTCACTCAGTACTGCACAAACTATGTCCTTTAAATCAGTCTAGTTGCCGGTTGTTCTTTGTTTTGAATTCTGCATTTGCCTCCACAGAATGAAGGCCATCACTGATTGAATCCATCTCTGCTGGTGAAGATCGTGGAGTTACCTTCGTAGGTAAGGAGCCGAATGGCCAAAGTAAATAATTTTGAAAAGATCTTGTCACTTGGGGTTGGCTGTCTCCTTACCAGTCACTAGATTACATTACATGCTACTCATCATATAGACCAATGAGGTGGATAAGTTATGAAACAGACGAGAGCTGACCCGACTCAGTGCAGTTGTGGTTAAAAAGGAAGCGGAAACCATCTTATTCCTCTCAGAGCTGATGAATAACCATCTTACTTCTATACTGCATTACACCGCTTGCTTCACTGAAATACTTCTCCATGAACCAAACCTTAGGCTGCCCTGTCCCAGTGATGACCCCTGCCCACTGGTGCCGACTTCATTGTTAACTCTTCATTATAATGAAATGCATAATGGTACTTATGGAATTCACTGATACTTAGAGATCATTGCTTATCTCATGATAGATAATGAATAATTAATAAAAATAAAGAATTACAGTTCGTGAGTTTAAGTTCAGGTCCTCGCTGGACATGTCCCTACAGTAGTCACCGTGTCCACGTGTGGCAGTAACCCTTCCTGCGGTCAGCAGCGTGCCAGTGGACAGCCCCTTGCCAAGAGGGAGCGCTGCTGTGTTCCGGGGGGGGGGGCGGCTAGGATGCCGGGTGGTCACTGACCCTAATCCATTGAAGGCCACTGCCCAGTCTGGCCAGTTGAGGAGAGTCCAGGTATATGGCGAAGGAGTCTTGGGCACATCTCGGCAGAACCAACGTGCTGCTTGGTCCTTTGGCTTTGGAGACGGATCCAACTCCAACTCGCAGCGGGTCCCTGAGCGTGCCAATGAGCAGATATAGAGAGAAGAGAGAGACGCTTCGTCTGGATCGATGATGAGTACCCTGGGGTGTCTGAAATCAAGGATTTTGATTAAACCCTGTAACTCTGAGGTCCGTCACACAAGAATTCCTGTCTGCTCCCTCACTGGAAACTGAGCTTACTGCAGAGTTGAAAATATTCGGGAGTTTGTTCTCGGCTTCTGAGTATTGAGTTTTGTGTTATTTTCAGTAAGTCAACGCATGAATAAAGAAAGAAATGTATAAATGAACGAAGACAAGATAGGTCACTCCTGGCCCCGACATGAGAGTATGTAACGTAATATAGGTAATCTGAAAATCGCTATTAATACATTTCTGAAGCACTAAGTTCCAGTAAAATAAATTGATTAAAGTTGACCCTTTTGGTTAAAGAGCATTAAGATAAATGAATATAGGCGCCTGTGTTGTTTTTCTGGGTTTGACGGTTGGTTTTTTGTTTTGTTAAGCAAAGGGCAAAACATTTTCTTAAATTAAATTATTGATTAAATAACTACGTAATTGAGAGGGTTTACAGATGAACCTCTGCTGAGAACATGTCATATGACCAGTTACGATTAACGTGATGATCTCCACTTTCAAAAAATTTGTTATTGAAGTAAAATTGCATTATTCACTGTTTTCTAATAAAAAATGAGAACAAATTATCTCTTCATCTGTGCCTCATTAACATCTGGACAGGCATTAACATTGTCCTGTTTCTGAGGAATCATGAATAGCCAATAACATTATTGTAAACGTGTAAAAGAATAACTTAATATGAATTGTGATTTGAAAGAAGGCAAAACAGTGCAATTAATCCTGGTCAGCACAGCTGTTCTCCAGATAAAGAAAACAGGCCTGGGGGTCCCTCCATTTTGGGGATGGAGAATGTATTTAGGAAGGATTTTTCTTTCTGACTTGGTGCAATAACTTTTAAAAATGAAAGACAGATAACTCTGTGTGTAACTGTCTCTCTATATAAAAGTAGGACAAATGTGGCTAGTTGAAGAAAATGTGCTGATTTCAGGCTGCACATTAACCTAATTCTTTCCCAGCAAGATGCACTTAGAAAAATCTAGACCTCACCTAGGCAGGGAGCATGTAAACAGACATGTGGAACCGCCATAGTTCTCGCTGTGTTCTGTATTTATTACACCAGTTTAATTGAACACTTCAATCAAACAATCAATCAATTGGGCAATTGAGATGCCACTCAAAATTTTAATATACAGCAGGCACCGAGGTCTTCCTAATAAGATGTTATTGACTTGAACACGATTTAAAAAATTTGAACCTGCTGCTCTGATCTATTGTTTATATTCGCTTTGACTTCGCAGAACGGATGCACATTGATTCAATTAAGGAGTGTAGAAACTTCTGTAAGTAACAAAGTAATTGCTTCTGGGTTGGTGGTTTGTCATGGGTGTTAGCTCTGTTACTGGAACAGAGTAAATGACTACATACACAAATAAAATGAAGGAAGGTGCCATGTAGGTCAATTCAGCACATCTGTGGTCAATTATGGAGAAAAACAAGGCCATTTTATTCGTTTTCACACTTAATTATTCAATTAATTAACTTATTAATGTAAAATGTGATATTCAATTTTAATTTTGGTCACAGTTGATTTAAACTTCGCTCTATAAGGTCACAGTTTAGTCACATTCAAGGAGTAAAGTGGAGTTAAATGAAGTGTGCATCGTTTAATCTATCTAGGAAATAATGCAACCCGTTCTTGAAAGAGGCGTCTGCAGCCCTGAAGTCCACCAGTGAGAAATCTAGTCCACCCCTCCTGGAAATGACCCTAATGTTAGGTGTATTTAAAGATCATGCACTGTTACGATGAATACTTGGCTTTAATTTCAGTTTTCTGGCATGTACTCATGCTAGAAGCAGAAACAAATACAGAAATCAATAATTATGAAGGGTGAAGCATTGATAGACTGTGTGAGGTAAGGAAGGGGATTTTACAACATTAATTTTTATATATTTATTTTATTTATGCACACAAGAACTGAGGCACAGGCCAGAGGTGCAGGGGGTGAGAGGAGTCACCCCAGACAGTGGGGAGCAGAACAGGCGGATGTACTGAAGCCCACTGCTAAGGAGCAGGGGAGGCAGGAGGGGTCTGCAGAACTGTGTGGGTCACACCCTGGCCGGGGATCGAACTCAGGCTGCAGTGGCTGGCTTGATAGCACGGACGCTTAACCCCTGTACCACTGGAGATGCCCCAAACCGATAATGTTAATTAAAATCACTGAAGGCTGTTAAGAAATAAATGCATGTTACCTCTGTGCCAGGAGCTTCTAGATAATCGTAATTGTTATAGATCAGAGTTATGGATGAAGAGGTTCATTTTGTTAAGAGAAAAATAGGTAAATATTAAGAAAAGTTAATAATGATTGAGGAAAGCAGAATGGATTGAAGAGAATGTCTTAAGTTTACAAATCACCACCTCGCTTTACAGTCAGCGGAGGGGACACGCCTGAGCTGATTTCAGCTCCCCGCCAGGGGATCTGTGGGCTCTCACTGTCCTGCCAGGGCACCGTGTGAGCAATAGCTGCAGCTCCTCTTTTAGTTTATCTCTAAAAAAGCGTTGCCCATGTTTTAAAAAGATGTGTTTCATAGAAGCAGATAAGCCACCTTTGACCCAGTGGTCTGTGGGCTGTTATATGAGGCGGGCCGTTCCCAGGAGATGTGCCGTGTGGCAGATGGTGCACAGGTTGATGTAGGGCTATCTGAGATCCTTGCTCTTGTTGAAATTCATGCTGCTCATTGTCTTATTACAGTGACTTGGTAAATCAATTAATAAATGTTGATGACAGGGAGGGAGAAGGTCACCTTTTGGGTCAAGGCGGTGACTGGTGCCAAGTGAGTCCTGGGTCACGAACGACACGTCGGGAACGCTGAGCTCCAGAGAAAAGAAAACCTTGTCTGTGTCTTCTGTGCGAAAGGGCCTCGGGCGCTGCCGGGGTACATGGACTGTGTTCATGGCTTGTTCAGAGGTCCTGATTCTCTTGTTGTAAGTGGACATAGGAAATACAGGCAGAATCGAGGCGCAAACATGGTGCCATTGAGTAAGAGGGCCGTTGTCCAATTATGAAAATGCCTGGCGAAGCCAGAGGACCTCTGAGTAGAGGTAAAAAAAACAGCTGGCTGATTAAGAGAGATGTGGTTCCAGGCTTCACTTCTTGACTAGTGGTTATGTAAAGAGTGTAAATAACAACCACTGTGTCTGTGCTGGCTCAGTTCACTTTCTGAAGTGAACTAGTAGCAAAGGTTACCTCTCAGGAATGAATATCTAAACGGTCACCTTACTGAGAGGTGAGACACGACAGTGAGCGAAGTTGACGTCCATTTCCCCTGTCTCCTGACTCGGACTCCTCAGCACAGGCCTTCCCCACGCTGACCCGAGCACCTTCCTTGTGTCCAAGCGATTCTCTAGACTGGAGCCCAAAGTGAGCAATAACTGTAGTTCTTTTCTTGTTTTCGGTGCTTTGCTTGAACATTAACCATAGTATTAAAGATAATTAAATATAGTGTAAAAGGGCCGTGTGGCCATAATAAATAGGGTTGATATTAGACACATTTGCTGAACAGTGGAGATGAGGAATGAAATGCTTTCAGCAGGCCTGGGTGTGGACACAGGTGCAGCGCTCCTGGGGGGATTGTTTTCAGTTCACACATACTTCAGAGCTGTTGATTTCTCAGTCACTGAGTCAGGGAGGAACGGACAGGTGTGTGCGGAAGCGTCTCGCTTGGGCCAGTCATGATGCCGAGGCGCATAATGGTGGCTGATGAGTACTCCGTGTGGGAGCTCTGAGGTCCAATGGAGTCAGAAGTCTAGTCCGTGTTTTGGAAATGACTGAGCTGCAAGATGTTAGTAAAATTCAAAGAACTTGGTATTTGTTGTGTTCGTGGGTTTTGATCCTACTAGCATAGAAAAAAAAGTCAACCCACAGTTAGGAAGAAGGGACAGTTGTAAATTGTGAACGTTAGTACCCAGCGGCTGTGTAAGCTGAATGCAGGAGGCTGGGCCTCTGCTGTGTACCCCGCAGCCCGGGCCGTTCTGCGTGGCTTGGCGCCTGCGTCTGACCGGCGTGTTGAAACCAACGAGTGATCGCCGCTGGTCTTGTTTGAGTGTTGTTAAAGAATAGGTCCAGTCTATTTGAAACGTGCGAAGTTCATCGGTGAACACCGGCTATGATGTGAGCACACACGTAGAATTTATAGGACGTTGTGCGGTGATTCACGCCGTGTGAAATCTTGGGCAGTCACAAAGCAGCGCGAACACGTGAGGCCCCCGAGGGAGGAAGGTTGTTCCGGACTCTGGTTCTGATTGTTGCTTGTAGTTCAGAGGTTTGTTTCGTTATTGTCAGAGAACAAGTGATTTACTTCATAAAGAAGTACAGATGAAGCATAGCTGCGATGACAGCGGACTTGCGCGCGTCCGCACCACTAACAGTGCGCTCTGGAGCTCCAAGCTCCAGCCCAGAAGGAAATCTAGTCTCTCCCCTCTCCTGGAAATGACCTGTGGACAGATGTCACTAGTATCCAAAGGCCTTGCTCTTTTTATTTTGGATTCAGGAAATTGGCATCTTTACTATAGTAGATCAGTGATGGAACCATTAAATAAATATGTGAACCAGTACGAATTGGTAGAGCACTGTACCGTTGGGCAATTATGAATATGTATGTATATATATTCTTAATATTAATTATCACTAATGTAAATTATAGAAACTGATTCTATTACTAAATAACTGATTTGAGCATTTTCCCTTTTTTGTTCTTTTTTTTACCTCTTTTTTGAAATATTTATACAGACACTTATAATAGTCACCTTTATTGTTTCTTGTCAGAGCAACTTGTTCATTTTGTTGAGATTATATGTGATAAAAGTTAGTGATTATCTAAATGACTGAATAAATGAGCTCATGAAGAGCAAGGTTCAATGGGGATGGGTCCACCTTTTCTGAATGCATCTTCTTTGCTCTCTGCTCCTCAGACTGGACGCGCTGGAGCTGACTTCACATCAAAGTCCCCCTCAGTCACAGGATGTCTGGTTGACTCGGCTTTGGGGCATAGAAGGCCATGTGAGTTACTCTTGAGCACACAGTGACTTGGAAAGTATGAAATGCAATCCAAGAAAGTCAACCAAGCTTCATCTGTAAATATGGACTTGATATGTAGCTCTGTATTGATTAATCCTTAAGTGAATCTTCAAGGGTGATGAGTGAGAGACAGCGATTTTGTATAGCCAATGTTTCTCTAGACAGACTGGGACAACTCAGGGCCTCTGTGGCCTTGTGCTTCCCAGGTCCCTAATGTATTATGAGCAGATACAGTGGTGAGAATGGAAGAAAAACGTGGATGCCTGGGTCGTGGTGACTGCTGGTGAAGCGTGAGTCCCGGTGGTGACGGTGTCTGAACTCTGAGGTTCAGAATAAAAAGAAACCTGGTTTATTGCTTCTGTCGGAAATGATTTTGATTGAAGATTTTATAAGGATATCGTCTGGGCTCTTTGTATGCATGAATTGTGATTTTATTATAATAAAGAAAATGAAGAATCAAGGTACATATTAAATTAGTAAAGGTGAAGAGGGTGAACTAGGTAGGAAGTTCACCTACGATGCCCAGTTATGAGAAAAATGACTTGAGCAAAAAGCTAACATTAATGACTGTTGAACCACTGCAGCAGTTTAGAAGTAAACCACTCATGGGGGTTACCTCCGGCTATGGATATGATAGATAATGTGAATAACTACTGAGAGTCTTCTGATTCAGTGGGAAGTTTGCTTTGTTTCTGGTCAGAAAAAGTAGAATTCATAACTTAGTAGTCAAGTAGAATTCTTGGCTTAGTAGTTCTAAGTCAAGATATAGTGCCATCATTGAGTAAGGAAGTTTAAACCGCAGGGTGAGTGGAGAAACTCTCACGATGATGTGGTCCTCTGTTTTGTTCCATGCCTTAAAGAATGGACACATTCAAGTGACATACTTTCGTGCCATGTTCCTCGATCTCGCTATTTGCCTGTATGTGTGGAAACAATGTGAGTTATAGTCAATGCTCTCATCTTAAACCTAGTGTGGCTTTCTGGTAGGGTATTGTTGGGGTATTGTTAAATAGGGATTAAGTATAAGAAAAAAGACCATTCGCTCTCCAGTGATTAAGCTGGAAATGGATGAAGCACTGTGTTGATCGATCTGTCTTTGCAGTAGGGAGGACGATTCATCAATGAGACATATTCAATTAGCTAGTGACCCTAAAAAGTGGCTAGAAGTCTCAGTGGATCTCGTGAATCTTAGCTATTTATTAAGTTACTATTATTGAATCAATGGTTAATGTGGAAACCAGTGTGTGTGAGGAGGAAGAGAAAGTCACGCCTGGACCAGTGATGACCGCTGTGGCAAACGAGTCTTCTACGATGATTGCTATGTGTCTGGAAGTCTGAGGTCCAACTCAAAAGTAACCTACTCTGGTTCCTCTCTTGCAAGCGAGACTTCAGATAGGTGCTAGGAATGTTCTTGTGAAGTTGGAGTCAAGGGCTTCTGTATTATTGTGGATCCATACTAGAACTAACTTTTAAACAAGTAAATATGTAAAAAAGAACCTGAGTCTGTATAATCTGTGAATATATGAGGCCAGGAATACTATTAATCCAGCCTGAAGAAACCACTGCATGTTAAGAAATGCAGTGGTATTACCTCTTTACTAAGGGTTACGTTATTATATTGAATTCATACATTTATATATGTGCATAAATGCTGCAAATTAATAAGTACCAGTAAGACTGAGGTGATGAAGTGAGGACGATGGGACCTGTGTACAGAAGATCTCAGTGTTTAAAGCTCTGTGCTCTGCTCACCTCCTCAGAACGGGCCCCCTAGGATGCCTCCGGCGTCTCCTGTGTTCGTGTGGTCTGTGGTTCCCTCTTGTGTATTGAGCGTAGAAGCTAATGTGAGTAATCACTTGTGTCTTTGAGAGCTTTTTAAGCCTTTACTGTGCCCCACCATGAATGAGAAATATGGCATGGGTACAAAGTACCCATACTTCTAATACTATTAACTATACTTTTAATACTATTAGCGTTGATGGTAATTAGTGAGATACATCAACGTGGCAGGTGATACAAAAGGTTGACATGGAATATTTATTGCTCTGTTCTTGGGGCTTTGTGAATCATACAATTAAAAAATAATCATTAGTGAATTAGTGTATTCATCAGCGAAGTTAGGTGCCGGGAGATGACAAGCAAGTGACCCCTTCATGGACTGGTGATGACAATTGAGAGTGTTGAGTCGCTCGTGATGTACCTTATATGTCTGAAACGCTTAGGTCCAATAAAAAATGCAAAGAGTCAATTTGATTTGACATAGTATTAAAGACTAAGGAAAATAAGAGCATTTTCTCTGTTTTTACATTTTGAATTACAATAGAAAATGGTGCAAAGAATCGATGAGTAAATAGCACGGAGCTCTGGCGTGTAGGCTGTAGCATCCCCACTCCTAATGTATGTGGCGTGGCACCAGAAGCTCAATTGAAAATATGAAGTTCATTACGAAATGTAAATTGTTTAAGTGTTTTACCTCTTTGGCAGAGAGTGATGTAGATAATAAATCAGTCAGAATTCTTATTCTGTCTTAGTGCCAGCTTTGATTTGTTGGTTTTCTGAAGAGAAAAATAAGAACACGACTTCAGTTTCTGCTGTTCCTCAAGGGTGGTCTAAAAGTGCTGGGCCTTGAGGCCCAGGGAAGGATCTCGGTCCTGTTATGGCCTGCTCTGTCTTGTGTTCACCAGAAGGGATGTACTTGAGCTGACACAGGCCTGTGTGAGAGCGCCTTGGACGCCACGTGTCTGAGAGCTTGGGGACCGCAGTGAGGAATAGGTTCTTCTCTTATTTACATGGTTTGTAAAGGATAGGAAGTGTAGTGTTGACAGAGTATGAGGTGGATTGATGGGCAGCATTGTGTTGATGAATCTACATTTGCCACAGTGTGGATAGTTCAGGAAAGAGGTGAATGACTCCACAGAGAGGTGTGAGGGATATTTAATGACCTTGACTTGAGACTTTTGACACATAGATATTTATTTTACTACCATTAAGGACTTTATAAATTGGTTAAAAAACAAAATGGAACACATAGGTGAGAATGAGCAGAAGTGTCCCAGCGATGACCACTGGCGCCTTGAGAGTCACGTGCAGTGGGGAGCTCACAGGAAGTGCAGCCACTCCTCCCGGAAGCCTCCTATGACGCATGTCAGGGCCACACAAGGACCTACTCTGATTCTTTATGTTCATGGACTTGTATAAGTACCATTATAAATGCAGCCATGACAAAGTAAGTGAACACATACTTGAAAACAGATGGAGAGGATTTAATATTCATTGCTGTCAGCACCTGGGAAGATGTTTGTCTTCTCCTTTTAGAGAAATGCAAATCAAAGCACCATTAAGCGATGACATCACAGCCGCGAGAGTGATGGCAGCTCTGAGGACCAGCAACAGCAAATGCCCCAGTCTTGCCTCTTCTTTGCTTTGTGCTTTGCAGAGAAGACACCTGCGCCGGTCCCCACCCCCACCACGTCAGGCAACATGATGCCCCTGCGGTCAGAAGCATCATTCCCAGCGTGAGTGACCGTCAAGGGTCTAGTCTCGGTTGGGTGGTTGTTTAGGGTGTGACTGTCATATATAAGTAGGAAATAGAAGACAACTGACCAGCTGACTGATCTTCCTTTACCACAAGGAAGATGATTAATCAAAGACATATATTCAGTCAGGTGAAATGATTCTAACGATAAATGACAGGGATACCGAGGCTCTTGTTTAGAACTTTTGTGTTAGAGCTTTATAGCTACTCGTTTTGCTCTGGCTAGAGAATCAGTGAATTATCACGTCAGCCAGTGGAACTGAGGTGAGCAGTGACCTATAACCGAGAATGACCGCGCCTGGGCCAGTGATGACCGCTGTGGCAAAGAGTCTTCTACGATGATTGCTATGTGTCTGGAAGTCTGAGGTCCATCTCAAAAATAACCTACTCTAATGTGTTCTTCTGTTGTAAATGCCCCTCTGGCTGGATATTAGAAACAGCGTGCTTGTAAGTGTGGACTCAAGAATTTCTATATTATTAACATAAATGGGTCCGTACTAGAACTTACAAACAAATATGTAAAAAAGAGCCTGAGGCCCTATAAACTGTGGCAATATGTGACAAGGCCAGAAATGCTATAAACAGAAACTGAAGAAGCCTGAGCATGTTAGGAAATGTGAAGTTATTATGCCACCTCTTCTTCTAAGGATCCTGTCACTGTATTTTTGTTTACATGTTTGTATTCATCATGAAAAGAATTACACCTGTGAGTAAATTCACCAGGGAAATCAAAGACCGATTTAGAGAAGATCTCAATTGTTAAGTTATCTGCTCTGTTCTGTACTCCTCAGAGTGGACTCACTCCAGGTCACTACAGCATCCTTCCTGGTCGCAAACTGTGACTGGATCCAAGTATTGGCGCCCTAGAGACCAATGTGAGTGATAGTCAAAGTTTGTCTAAGCACTAGTGTTCTTTTAAAAGGTTGAAGGCCAGTGGTAATTCAGTGATAATATCAGATTATTGCTATTGACTAGCACATAGATGAAAAAAGTAATAATTAATAACGAAACATATTGATAATAAAGATTCCATCAGCTGATGAAGCTCCTCTTGGGTTTCTGTAGATAGTAAAATCTTAGCAGTGATTGTTAGTAATGCATCGATAAATAGTTGATATAGACAGGATTGAAGGAGAGGGGGACCAGATTGGATCGATGATGAGCCCTGGTGGCGTACGAGTCGGAATCGATGACTACGTGTGTGAATCTGAGGTCCAACACAGATGAAATCTAGCCCACTGTCCTTTTGGAAGTTATGTGCTGGACTGAGGTCTGGAGGGATAGACTAGGGCATCAGGGATACACTCGGACCTTCTCTTTCTCCTTTTAAATTGGATCAGTGGTTGATAAGCAAACATACAAAGAAAGATGAGGCAGTGTCCAGCAATCAACATTATTGATAGTACTGTAGCAAGAGAAGTAGTTCGTGCATCTTGAAAGCCTACTACCAGCAAGGACGTGATAGCGGCGTGTTGCTCATTGGCTAAGAGCTTATGCGCTGGTCATACCGTGATGGGTGACTTGCATGTTCTGTACCAGCGGCAACACAGTGGTAGGTTGCTTACTTAGGAGAACTTAGTTAACATTTCCCCATGGTGATAATTCCCTAAGTGATGGGCTGAACACAAGGCAGATGTGAGGTCCAGTGGAGATTAGGGCTCAATCCTTGTTTCTGTTCTTTTTAATTCCCTTCTCCTGTGCACTCCTCACGACTGTCCTCACGTTGATCCAAGGGCGTCCTGTGGTCCAGCTTGGTGGTCATCTCTGTGTCCGGGCGTGAAGACTGGTGTGAGTACAGCCATATTCTCGCTTCCATTGCATGGTTTCGTCAAAGGGTGTTCACTGCACTGTAAAGAAAGTGAATTATTTGCATGACCACGACCCATGACCTCCAAGTACAATTAATACGATCTTTAAAATATGGTTGGTAGGGATACTTAGTAATCCATATTTTGATTATGCACGTAATTATTAATTATTACTTCATATAGAACACAGCGAGGTTGGTTAGTGAATGAGATGGGTCTGGAGCGGAGTCATTCCGCAGGCTGCATAGTGTTAGGTGCTCAGTGAAGGTGAGACGAGGCGAGTGTGTTGCCTGGGCAATACGTGTGCTCAGGCTGCTCACTGGCTGGAGCCATCGAGACTCTCTGCTGGTGGAAAGTGACTGCACGCCACTGCTGGGGAGTGGAAGTTATTTAAAAAGTTCACGGGCGTCTGTTATTATCAGTGAAATAATGCATTAATTGAAACAGAAGTTTAGGTTCTGGTAGATGTCCCAGTGGAACACCGTGGAGGGGTGTGGTGGCCCTTCTAGTGGCAGGTGTGAAAGTACATTGTAGCGTTTGAACCCCTGGAGCAGATACAAAGATTAAAAACGTAATTTAGCTTAATAAGCATAAAGAAAAATTGGGAGTTATCAATAGAAAAAAAAAGTCAGCTGGATTAAAAATAAATGAAAAAATTTAGATAATGACATTACAGTTAAATGAAGAAAAGAAGTTGAAATCTGGATCAATATCGAGGTCGGGTGATATATGAATTAGGGATAAGCCATGCTGATCTAGAGTTTCTAGTACAAGAAATATTTAGTCAGTTGCTTTTGATATAAACGACCATATAAATGTGAGTTGCAAGGGTCTAAGCCTTGGGCTTTTGAACATCACAGATATTGATTACTTATTATCAGTTCAGCGAGATAATAGCCAGTTAAGTGCGGGAGCAGTGGGTGAGTGTGCAATGTTGGTAGCAGATACAACGAAAGAAACATCGTCACAACCCATTTCTGAAGGATCCAAGCTGTGAAAGGCCCCTGGCTTTCATTCCTTAGCATAAGGGCCATAGAGAGCCACGAGATGCTTGATGTTCATGGTCTGTGTTGTTCTGGCTTGCAGTATCCTTAGTTAAGAAACAGCAAAACCATTTTAATGTAATTCAATCAACTAACTATGTAAAGAGGCTGAGCATGAACCAGTAACACAGATGTCGTGGGTGACCCGATGGCTATGCCGTGTCCCCTCCGTGGTCACCCCAGTGTGTGTGAGTCACTTTAACGCCTGCGCGCCTCAGACACGCGCCTGCACTTGCCAGCTACTCCTCAGGGAAGTTGCCAAGAAAGCAGACAACCCTGGGTCCCAAGGTCAGAAAGCACCTGGATGCACTTACTATTAATCAATGAGATTGTCGAGCTTGGGATCCAATTTACTGATTTCATCACTACGAGTTAACAAATAAATTAGTAACTTGATAAAAGGGGACAGAACACCTGGCTAGTGGTGCGGATGTGTGGAAACACGATTTGTAAGTTCCACTCGTCTTATGTCCTAAGAGAAAAATCAGCCCTTACCAGTCTGAGCAGGGCCATGGGACAGAATACAAATAACACGTCCCTCTGGCTTTCTGGGAAGTTGGATAGTTTTTATTTTGATTACAATGAATAATTTGTCAACTTATGATGAATTAAAGAGTGAGTAGAAATCAAAGCTGTTGGTAAATGATTGCACACAGCCATGAAAAGCCAAACAGTGATTGCAGATCGCTGATAAAGATGTTTTGTGCAAGTGTTTGTAGTTGAGCTCAGTACAATGAAAAAGTTTGACATTTTTCTTCCCTTTCATAGCTGCTTGTTCAGCGCTAGGTTTGCGCTCGCGGTGCGTATTTCCCCCGGGGCACCTAAGCTGGTCACGGAGCTGCTCCCTGAGGGAGAGGCCAGCTGTTTCCGGCTCACGCTTGTCTTTCCTCAAAGCTCTAATGGGTGGACGTGCCACGTGAGAGCCTCTGCAGCGGGCGTGTCCTGCTTGCTCTGGGCCAGTGGTGGTTTCCAGGTTGTTGGTTTTACTAAGAAAAACAGGGTGACTAATATGATCACCCCCTAAACGTCTTCCTGAAAGCAAAATCACGGCTCGGTGGAGATCAAGTCTCAGGCTTTTAACATCCTCCTCTAACACACAAGATGGCCGCCCGGCTGACGTGAGCACTGCCGGGAGCGACGTGTCTGGGCTCCCGGCGTTGAGGATCGAGGGGCCCAGTGCGCCAGGGGTGCGTAGCAGGGCAAGGTCTAGCGGGGACTGGACAAGGAGGTATACAAGGAGGAGGGACAAGCTCATGGGTTGTTTGATTTACTTGAAGATTTTAAAAACAGGCCCACGTCATGTATTTTGAGGGCTCCACATTTCGGTTTTAGGTTTCCCCGCCCAGCCCTGCGCTGAGAGCCGTTTCACTGGAGGCAGCTGGCCGAGGCAGGTGGGTCTGGCGCGGCCGCGGTGGGGGTTCGCTGGGGGCCTGGACCGGTGATGCCGTGGAATGCATTCTGAGACGTGTGTCGTGATCAAAGCGCTGCGACGCCCTGAGGTCCACCCTGAAAGGCCTTTCAGCGCCATGCCTGTGGGCACGAGCCTCTGGTGTCCAGGAACACTCGGGGCTCACCGCTCTTATCGCTGCTTCATGGACTTCCATTGCATGGTCATGGGGGGGGGGGGAGCTCTAAAGAATAAGCAAACTTGTCAGTGTAGAGAGAGAAAAGGGGACCCCAGTAGGGAAGTATCTGGGGAGGCAGGAACCATTGGCCGACTCACAAGCCCTGGACTTCACGAAAGGGCTATGGGGTTGCAGTTTAGAGTTGGGTGATGATGGGCGGTGAAGGGGAGAGTGCATCGGGGAGTTAGAGTGTTATTTGTACTCAAGAGAAAAAGAAATAAGTCACAACGTAAAATAGGCAGAGCTGAGTGGCCGAGGCGGTGCCCAGCGGCGCATCTGGACAGCGCTCACTCTTTAACTTTCTCACTGCTCCTAGGGCTTAGTGCTCGGGAGTTTCCTCTTCTTTAGAGAAGCATGAGTGCTGGGACTAATTGGAAGTTGTAACTTAACTTGTTTATTAATGTGGACATAAAATACAGATTTTTAAAAAGATTTCTTTGTTTATAAATAGAAGAACTGGGGTACAGGCCAGGAGTAGGGGGGGTGGGTCGCTTCACCAGAGACAGAGTGGGGAGCAGGACAGGCAGATGAACTGAAATCTAGGCATATATGTGTAAGGTAATAGCAGTGTTAAGATAGTAGTGTTATTAAAAAAAAAAAAAAACAAAAAAAACAACCCTGGCCTTCCGCGGTGGCGCAGCGGGTTAGAGCGCAGCACTGAGAAGCTAAAGCCCACTTCTGCATGAGTTCAATCCCCGTCTGCCCCGGAGGTGACCACATGGCATGGCAGACCTCTCCTGACCCGCCCGCTGCTCCCCTCAGCAGTGTACTACGTCGATCTGCCTATTCTGCACCCCGTTCTATCTCTGGTGCAGCCTCTCACCCTCCGCATCTCTGGCCTGTACCCCAGCTCTCTATGAATAAATAAATAAATCTTTAAAAAAAAAAGATAGTAGTGTTATATATTACACATGTAGAATATATGTAATTAAAGTGTATAATTAAGTTGTTATATGTAACTATTTATTTTAGACTATATGTTATTGCACTTATGAAAGCATTGTAAGAGAAATGAATATTCATCTAAAGGGAAAGCGTTAGCAAATGCGCCCACAGACTGCATCTTTGACCAGCGCGGTGAAGGCAGTGATAGTCACATCTCCTTGTGAGTTGCAAGTTGGAAGTTTATATTTTCGGGTGAAAACGGAACACCCCACCCAGCAAGCCTCACTGGATGGCAGGAGCAGGAGCGGGGGGCAAGCACCCAGTCTGCTCGGCGCCTTCAGGGCCTTACTGGGGACCCTTCCACGTGGATGCTGGGAACACAGACCAGCAAATGTGGAGTTCATAGGTTTAGATGTTTGATTAGTTATGGATACATGGCGGAACCATCAAATGAATATGGGTAGACATTAGGGAGGGCGGGGGACTCATTCTCCCAGTGTGAGAACAAGTGGCGAGGGAAGAGAGGTCACGTGTAGAAATAGAAGACACGGATGCCACCAAGAAACGAAAGAACCCAGGGCGCTTCCCACTGCCAGAGGGCTGTCGGCACAGAGAAGCTTCATTGTTTGGTCCCGTTTCTTTTGTAAGGGGGGAAAAGTACATTTAATGAAAAATGGTCAGTTACTTAAATGAAAAAGGTGTAAATGTGGGGGGCAAGGATCAAAGGAGATGTCTCTTATTTTTGCTCTTTCCTATGTCTGCTCCGCCCCGGACTCCCTAGAATGGAATCCATGGAGTTGACGGACGTGCCTTCCACGGTCGGGCTGGTCCCTTCTCTCCGCAGGAGCACGGAGGCCGTGTGAGTACTGGGCAAAGCAATGGCCTGACTGGGTGTGTAACTGAAGGGCATTATTAAATTTAAGTTTTATAAACTTAATCTGATTAGACTAAATTTAGCCTAGCAACTACTCTGGGACTCACAGGGGCATGATTCTGGATACTAACTAGGGATAGCAGGTCTACTCTTGGGTTTTGTGCATCATATGCCTTTAAGATTATTTTTGTTAAACTGCGGAATTAATTGATAGTTAATATGCAAATGAATGATGACAACATCGCACCCCTAGACCAGCGTGGTCACCGCTGGTGTGGAGGTTATCGACGACGGGCAGCAAGCGTCGCAGCTCAGGGCCAGTGGACGGCCAGTGTGGCCTTTCTCTCCGTGCACTGTGTCCAGTGCTATAATCGGACAATGGAAGTGTCATTAAGCAAGTATATAAGTGAAAAGTATTCCTGTCTTTCCATTAAACATTGGCCAATTACAGAAATGGGGGGGAGTAATAGTCACTATGTGTCATACTGCGGAAGCCAAAGAGAGCACGCTGCTCACCAGTCTGCTCACCAGTCGCTGCCTCAGCCATGTGGACAGTGCTTTACAGACGGCTCGTGTCATGCTCCATGTTGGTTGCCTGAAATCCAGACTAAGTAAGAGGGAGAACGTGTCAGTGGAGAGAGCCTCGTTTGGCTCTGCCCCGCTCTCCTCTGAAGGGACTCAGCCTGCTGACTGACGCGTCTTCATGGTTAGGAGCCGTCTGGCTGCATCTGTGCTTTCAAGCGTGCGATCCATGTGCAGGGGTGATGGGGTGCTCTGGAAACGCTGTTCGCGCATTGGGGGGCGACTCCACGCAGGGAGGACGTGTCAGGCATCGCCGTGAGTGATCATGGAGCTCTGCGAGGTGGAGGGTGTGGTGGCCTGGTCCTGAGGGGCTAAGGTGTGGCCCTGTACCCCCACATCAGACACCGTGTGGGGTGCAGGTGTGATCCCGAACAAAGCCAGCTGGCAAGATAGAGGAAAACTTCCTTGAAACCCAGATCAGTCAGAGAAGGAGCTTTAGTCGCTGTTGCCATGAATTCAAAGCTCTCTGCAGTGGTCTCCAGGGTCTGATCCTATTTTCTGTGTTTTATGTATATTTACTAGCAAATTGCATGTTGCAGACACCAAAGATGAAGGGGGGTTATGGCGCCAGCGTGTTTCCTCTTTCTGCAATACTGTGTCATAGTTAAAGTTCTTACTCTGAGTTCATTCACCTATGCGAAATTAAGTTGTCGCAGTCTCCTGGTATTACTGGCAATGTGGCCGACGAAGTCGAGGTGGAAGTAAGACCACTGGTCAGCTTTTTGTTAGGTCCTGCAATTTTTTGGTAGAATATGTGTTGCTACTTTGCACAACACAGATGTATGTTTATTAATTTACGCTATTCATTTTGATAACATCAGTCTCTCCCCAATCAGGTATTACCTCCACAGGTACCTGCTACCAGGTCACCCACAGCCAGCACCGTAGTCTGCTATGATCTCCCCTCTTTTTTCTTATCCCTTGCCCGCCTCTCCCCGTGCTTCCATTCTGTCATCAGCTTTCCAAGTCAAGCTTTGATTTTGCCTTTCTGATTCTTGGTTTGGTTTCTTTATATGCCAGATGTTAGTGACGTTTCTCTGTCTCCTTCTAACTAATTCCACTTAATGTCCCTTCCAACTCCATCCATGTTGCTGTAAATGGCAACCATTGATCTTTTTGATTGCTGAGTAATATTCCACAAAGCAATGTCATTTATAACTAAGATGTGGAAACAACCTATGTGCCCCAGACAGACAAGAGGATCGTTCTTCACCCTGTTTTTGTCCTGCCCTTCCCTGTCTTTCACAGAAGGGGCGTGTCTCATTGGTGTAAGCATCTTCCAAGGTCGCGAGCTCAGAGTCATACCTCTGCTTCAGGAACATGGAGACCAATGTGAATTGTCACTGTCCTTCTGGTTTTGACTATTTCTTACAAAAGATTTTTACTGTTGTCTTAAGACACATTAAATGTAATCAAAGAAGGTGTTTTGACTGCCAATTTGAACAACAGAACAATATGAAGTATTATTTTTAATTATAAAATTTATACAGACATTGAGTTCAGTTAATAGAGGAATTTCGAGTCAGCAAAAGCGATTGGATGGATGTTAGAATAGTCAAGAATCCTGTTCTTGCTTTTGGTGGTTTGTGTCTATTTCTTTATTAACGAATCAAGCAATGAACTCTTGTTGGTGATAACAGAGGAGGCCACCTGGACTCACTGTGGCGTTTGAGCTCTGTATGACGAGTCTGTGCCTGTGGAAGGATGTCAGGAATGTGCCAGCGTCTTGTTCTTGGTCTTAAAATATTATTATGGAAGTATTAGTGGCCGAGAACAAATGCATAAATGAATAAAGAGAAGCTTTGCTCCCCATGAGAATACGTGGCAAGGAAAAGGAATGTTGGCAGTGATTGTAACGGGTAAAGGAACATCCCAGGTCCGAGTGGATCATCCACTTGATCTACAAAGACCGAGAAGGTGACGGGTGGGAGTTACCCTGCTCAGGTATAACGAGAAAGACAAATATAACCTAAACGAATAAATGCCTGATTTGTTAGCTCATGAATAGCCCGTGTATTATATTACATTCCTGCAGATACACCTGTGTGTCCATACAAACGTACACAGACTTCCAAATTGCACGTCTCATGCTGCCCGTGCATGGATGATGCAGGTGGCAGAAAAGTGCATGCGAGCCAGTAGGGGCCACGGAAACGTGTCCTGTCTTCATGACCTTGTGTGCGTGGGCTCTGGCTTTTCAGGGGTAACGCCTCAGCCAGCCTCAATGCTGGTGCGAAGAGGGTTATCTGCAGGTTATAAAGTGGACCAAGATGAATAATATCTCAGTTTCACTGGTTTATTTAAGAGTGCTCATGTTACCAGTAAAGAGTAATGAATATAATGAAAATTAACAGTGGCACAATGGTGAATACGCCCTGATTAGGTCTCAGTGTTTCTCTCCTCTGCTCTGGGCTCTTAGAACGCAGAGTCTGAACAACTGGCTCGGGCAGGAGCCCCTGCTCAGCCCTGTCGCCTCTGCTTTACAGGAGCAGGGACGAGCACGTGAGTCCTCCTGACGGTCTTTTTTTTTTTTTTAAGGGAGAGTCACAATACTTTAAGGAATTGAACTATAGAGAAGAAGTCTTTATCTCTGTGTTTATTCTGGGCGATAGGGAATATTATATGACTGACACACAAGGAAAATAGGAAGTGAACAAGAGAGATGTCGATACAAACATTCTGTCTGCAGAGTCAGACACGGGGCTCTTCTTGGCCCTTTAGAAGTTGTTTTGTCTAAAATCGTTATTAGTGATGGCAACTTAATCGATAGGACAGAGACAGGAATGCAGGCAAAGGGGTGATACTGGATGGTGGTGAACTTTGGTCTTCCTGATGACTCCGATGCATACACGTGGGAATCTGAGGTTCGCTGGCAGCCGTCTTCGCCCTCCTTCCACACAGAGGTCGCCCAGGCAGGGGCCAGGGGGCGCGAGGGTCTGTTGTTGGTTTTTGTGTTCATGCAGTGTCCATGTATAACTATAATGGGATAAATGAGAGACTCGAAGTAAATCAAGAGGAAGCTCGTGAAGCGTTGCCCAGTTCTACGTGACAACTCAATGCTATTTCTATCGTGTGAGATTCTGCATTGCAACTGGGAGTAAATGCTAAATGCTCTTTCCTTTTAAGCTAAAGATGTAGACACAGAGGCCATAGACAGCATTGAGACTTAGCCCCTTGCTGGGGGGGCCCCAGTGTTGAGATTTTGGGCGAGGTCAAAGTTGTTCATTTTCTTAAGAGATGGACATAGTCAACACATCAAATGTGGAATGCGTAGCTGTGAGTGTTGACACGGAGTTTGTTGGAAAGACTGTCGAAGCCATTGTCCGCTATTCTCCTTTTACTCCTTAGGACAAATCACTGCACCTGATTTCAAGGCTCTTCCTAGATCATCAGCTTTGAGTGCTCTCTGTTACAGCCGCCTGGAGACCAGTGTGAGCATCATCAAATTTCTTGTCTTGGTTTGGGTGGGTTTTCTAAGTACACACCATATGAATAAAATGTTTGACATATAAGCAAGGAATATCATCTTTACTCTGTTGATGATTATCTGATTAACTCACTAATAACCAGTATGTTGACGAATGAGTGTTTGAATGACATAATATGACAGAGAGTGAATCTCGCGAGAATGGTTCTACCATGATTTTAGGAATAGCAAAGGCTTGTTCACTGGTATGAGTTCTATCGTTTTACAATTATAACGAGTGAATTAATCAATAATTCACTGGGTGCAGAGCAGGGGGCCTTTCTGGACCGGTGATGGCAACTGCTGGGTCTGAGTCCTGGACCGTGAGGGCGTGTCTGGGACGTCGAGGTCCAGCTGCGCACATGGGCTTTCTCTGCCTGCGTTTTCATTTCTTGTTACAGTGGGACCAGTAACCGGCTGAATCAACGAATATCTGGACCGAGGGAGAGAAAAATCTCCATCTTTGTATCGTCTCTTCTGTTTGCATTTTCCAGAATTTAGAACTGTAGCCTGCACGGGGTCAAGGAGAATCGTGTGCGTCGTTACCACAAAGGGCCCAGGTGGGTAAAGGTCAGGGACAGTTGAAAATGAGGGGGAGGTTGGAGTCAGGGAGCAGCGGCGTGAGGCCAGTGGACGGTGCTGGAGGACTCTGCGGCTTTGCTGGTGGCTGTGGCGTGCTGGTGACTCACATCTGAGCAGTAGGGACCCGTACCTCTCAGTCACATGCAATGTCGCCAGCCGACCTTAGCGCAAGAAAATATAATACAATTAAAACAAAGAATCCGGGCCCTTCCTGGTGGTGCAGCGGGTTAAAGCACAGCACTAAGAAGCTTAAGTCACTTCCGCATGAGTTCGATTCCCGCCTGCCCCGGAGGAGATCCACATGGTGCGGCAGACCTCTCCTGACCCGCCCGCTGCTCCCCTCAGCAGTGGACTTCGTTGATCTGCCTGTTCTGCTCCCCGCTCTGTCTCTGGTGAATCCTCTCACCCTCCGGATCTCTGGCCTGTATCCCAGTTCTGTATGAATAAATAAATAAATCTTTAAAAAAACCAAAAAACCAAAGAATCCATGGCAGGAGTCACAGAGATTATGTTAATGAATGAAATTAAGCAGGGACGTTTTGCTGTTAAAATGTATGATCAATAAAAATTATAGTAATATACACATTGTAGTAGAAAATTAAGTGAGATTATATATCACTGTGTAAGACTGGTAGTGATATTTAGTATTTATTGATTTATTCAAAACTTTTATGTTTGCTTAAAATGAAGAAAGAGGATCCTCCCTGGTGGCCATCAGGATAAAGTGCAACACTGGGAAGCTGGCCAGGCCGCTTCAGTGCAAGTTCAATCCCCGCCCCAGAGGTGAACTCACATGGTGCAGCAGACCCCTGCTGTCTCTGGGGAGTCCTCTCACCACCCCTACACCTTTGGCCTGTACCCCAGTTCTGTATGCATAAATAAATCTTCAAAAAAAGAACTCTTAACATATTAGAGTTTTTATCAACCCAATACATTAAAAAAAAAAAAAAAAGCAAGAACCAATCCCGCCGTAAACGAAGCACTGTTTTGGCGACTGTGCAAGTGAATAGCTTACTGGGAGACAGTGGTTAGTGCAGGCGTCTGCTTGTGCTCTTCAGAACGGAGGTGCAAGTGCATTTCAGCTTGCTGTCACCAACATTGTTACGCTGCGATGGCTGAAAGAGACGAAGGTGAGTGACGGTCATGTTGCTAAGGCGATCACAAGAAATACTACATAATCAAAAAGGTAGCCATTGCCCAAAGACAAAAATATTAAACAGCGTTAGTTAGTTGATATGGATAGGATTGAGATCAATTAATGAATGAATAAAGTATATTAGGAAATGATTCTATAAACTGATGAGGTGTTCAAGGACATTTCATATCCAACATTTTTATCAAGAAATAATTTACCAACAAACTTACTTTCACGTGTCCAACTTACTGACTTGATGTTCGCATTGATTATGAAGTGATCACTGTAACAGCTAGCTAACATCCATCACCAAACATCCTTTTTTTTTTGTCATGAGAACTCTCAATATATGGTCTCTTAACAACTATAAATACATGATAAGGTATTGTGTTGTGTTATATGCTGCTTATAACATTTCTCATGTACTTAATTTACCTTATTACTGCCAGTTTGTATCTTTGGGACACCTATACCCTCCTGCCCTCGATCTCTGGCAGACTAATATATTCTCTGACTCTATGAATTGGTCCTTTTATTTTTTGCTTTTGGTTCCACAGTCAGTGAGATCAGAGGTATTTGTCTTTCTCTGTTTTTCTTACTTCACTCAGCATAATATCCACAGGTTGATCTATGTAGAAACAAATGGAGCACCCTTCCTTTTCACGAGTGAATAATATTCCACTGCAGATCTATACAGCACACATCACTTAAGAGCAGCATCTTTTCTCAGAGGTGTGTCATCGTTGAGCAAATGTAGAGCGAGCTTACACAAACCGGCGAGGAGGCTCTACCATAGGGCTAATGGTGGAGTGGTCCACTGTCTGTCACTATGGGCCATCGTCACGTGGTGCCTGCCTGTGTCCCATGCTCTTCATTCTTCACTGATGGACACTGAATTCACATCAAAGTGTAGGCTATAATAAATAATGCTACAGTGAATATGGGGGTACAGGTACCTTTTGAGTTAGCGTTTTAATACCCTTTGGATTGAACTGAATTCCATGATCATATGATACTTTAAGCTTTACTATTTTGAGTAATCACCATAATTCCATGATGTTTTCCTTGCCTTACATTCCCACCATCAATGCACAAAGGTCCTTGTTCCTCCCCATTCTTTCAAAATTTGTTATTTTTTGTCTTTTTAGTAATAGTAAACAGCACATAAAGTACAATAAAATTAACTTTGATTGTAATTCTCTGATTAGTGAGTTCATCAGCTGTCTGTCTTTTGATCTTGTGTTTCTGTGAGCCATCTATTATTTTTACTGTTTTTAATGCATTATTTGATTTACACAAAAATAGAAACAAAGTAAAAAGTGTCAAATCTGGACACATGATGGTGGCTGTTGTGTAGAAATCATGGACGATGAAGTCATGTTTAAAACGTGGGTCCAACATGCAGATAATTGGTCTGTTCCCTCTGTTGAGTTGTTTCTAAGATAAGCTGTCAGAATATTAAAAACATCACATTCTTGTATTGATTCTATTCATGTAGATTTGTTCTTATTTATGTAGTACTGGTGGAACTATAGGTGACTCTAAATAAATGCAAAATTAAGGTGAAGCATTTGCCATGTATAAAGAGGCAAATTGTATTATTAATAAAATCAGTACATTCAGAAATAAAATATCACGAAATAAGTGAATTGGGTGTCACCTCTGACTCAGGTTCATACACACACAGATAAGAGGCCACTGTTGTGGGTCACCGTCATGTTTGAGAGAGATTTTCTTGTATAGAGAAAATAATAGCAGCTCTATGAAATATTTATAAATTTTCAAAAAGAAAATAAGTCAATATGGGTAGAGTTTTGTTTGTTTATTACTGTTATTAATTGTGCTTTGTATTTCTCAGAATGGCCAGACTTGAGCTGATTTCACACTCTGCCACGAGGGTGCTCTGTGATCACATCTTTGTTTCAGAAGCATGACCGCCATGTGAGTAATAATCAAATTCCTTGACTCAGTATCAGGGTTTTTATATTCAGAACATTCAGTGTATTATTAATAAGTTCCTGTAGATTTATAAAAGATGAGCTATTCAGCGACGGTGAATCTTAGGAAATATATTGATGAACCTATATGAGCTACAGCATATTTCTAAAAAACTCGTGAGTATTTATTTACAAGCTAGGGTTGTAATGACCCTTCTGGTGTTTTTGTGAATAATAGGTTTTTAAAGTTATATTGGGAATATGAGTTAGTCAATGAATTTTGTAGAAATGAACGAAGGACCAGGGCCGTGTTGGATCGATGATGACCACTGGTGGCGTACGAGTCGGATCGATGACTAGGTGTCTGGAACTCTGAGGTCCGGCCTGGCCCCTCCTACTGGTGGGCGTGGCCCTGTGAGAGAAGACAGCGGCATACAAAGATCCTGCTTTCAGTCTCTATGCTCACAAATCCTTTTTGTATAATTGGACCAATGAAACAAGAATGACATAAAATTAATTAAAGATGAAGGCAGTGGAATGTTGTCCAGTTACAAAAATTGTGGCGAGGCGAGGACTCTGTTGCTACTTTGCTATTTACATATTTAGTGTCTGTATGTTCATGTTGTCTGTCTGGGGCTATATGGTTACTGTTAGTTTAATTAAGGAAAATGATTTGTACATTAGTCTCACTCACCGATTAATACTTGACTAAGTAGAAGATGGAATGAATCCGAGAGCCAATGAGCTTAAATCTTTTTGTTATTGTCTGTTCTTCACCCCTCAGAATGGACTCTGTGGAGCAGACTCAAGCCATTCCTGTGGGCACAAGTTCTGTGGTGATCTACCCATAACAAATCTACAGTATGCGTCACAATTGAGGGTATTTCTTGGCTTAAAGTGTTGCTTTTAAAGGTTATTCATGGCTTTATTAAAAAGTGTGAAATAAAATAAGACATTTTCCCCAGTAATAGTTGATAAATGAAAAAAGTTACCATTTAGTCCATTAATCAAAGCAGGATAACCTGACTTTACTCTCAGTGGTACCTGCGTCTTGCCTCTTAATGGTTAGTTTTTAATCAAGAAATTGGAATAATCTACGTTTTATTTCCTTACAAACTTTCTCAATTCTCCAACTATGATATTACTATGAACATATGTGAACACTAAGCCCTGACATCTGACGACAGGTTCCCCCGAAACAACAGGACTGCACTAGGTTTCCTCTGTGGCAGACCTCAGAGTTCTCACGTAGTCACTGTGTGCGACTCGTCGCCACCAGAGTCATCATCGGTCCAGTATTTCCCCTCTCTCCTCATTTATGTCAAAGTGCTTATTGATAAAATCATTAATTCACTAATACATTTAAGGCTGATGGTTCATGAAAGAATAAGAAAAGCGTCTTCGATGTCCACTGTGTGGACGTAGCTTATATTCCTAGCAACATGTCGGATGATTCTCTGTCTTCTGCGTCTCCCACCAGCTGCTGTGGGCGCTCTTCCGAGGCCGCCAGGTCTGCCGCCGGGCGGGCGACGGGTCAGCATCAAGGAGAGGATGTGAGTAATAGTCTTATCTCGGGTTTGTGGGGTTTCAGAAAGGCTTTAGAGCATCATTTGAGACACTTTGTTCAACTATGAGCACAGGTGGGAACAGACCTGCTATTCGTAGCTCTGAACGCTCTGAAACTCAGGAAGGAGTGAAAGATCAAGTGTGTCCTCTCTTTGGCCATATAAGTAGTTCTGAGCCCCTTTTATTGTGGCTCAGAGACATTTGCATTTTCACTACATTAACATAAATGTGAATGACTCAAAATACCTCCATGAGCCAGTGAGTAAAATGTGGAAGTAAGCAGCAGTGTGAAGAGGGCTCCGAGCTCCTCAGACCCCGTGGCACGGACGCTTGTGGCCTGAGGGTGGGAAGGCTGAGGTCTGTGTCTCTGAGTTAGGAGCAGGCCGGTGTGACAGTGCAAGTTCTTGTTTAAGCTCGTGATTTTTTAACTTCCTGTGTTGTTAGTGAAGTGCATTTGAGAAAGGCTAGTGTAGCTCAGTGATTAATATGGGCCATTTCCAACACTGTATTGACCAGTCATAGACACGAAGCTGACTGCAGTTGAGCTGTGCACTGTGGGTTTATGCTGTGTAGAGATTATGCACACACAGCCCCTGGCTGGGTTTCTGTGTATCCTGGTGATATACAATGATTTTATTAATAAATATGGCAGAGGAAGAGGGGCCATATTGGATCGATGATGACCACTGGTGGCGTATGAGTCGGATCGATGACTACGTGTGAAATCTGAGGTCCAATATGCAAGTAATCTCGTGCATCCCTGTGGTTTGCAGGGATCTGTTAGACACATGTCAGGAATGTGGGAGCATCTTGCTTTTGGTTGCTAAGCAAAGTCATTTCAGGAAGGGGAAAACAGTTCTCCAGGAGAGAGTCTCACCAGGTGTGACCATCTACTCTGCTTTCTACTCCTCAGGGCCAGTACCGTCCTCCCGATCGAAGGAGTCCCTTGTCCCGAGCCCTGGGCTGGCCTCTGTTTCGGAGTCTGGTGACAAATGTGAGTAATAATCACAGTCCCTGACTTGCGTCTGGTGCTCTGTTTCCGGGCGCCCGTGCGTTAATACAGAGTAGGGGGATAGCTGTGGTCACGTGTCCCGGTGGGAGATACGGGCTCCCAGGCAGCGTGACACTGGTTGAAGCTCAGGTCCCCGGCAGGCTGCTCAGAGACCGGCAGGGACTGAGGCCTGTGGCCTGGGTCAGGGATCGCGAGGCCTTTGGGGTTTGAGGCTTGTGAGCCGGAGCCTTCAGGAGAGCGAGCTGCTGACTTCCCCGTAAGCACAGAGAAGGGTCAGAGCGGGGGTCTGCAGGATCGGCGGCACCAGCGAGTCGCCGTGGGCGGCCCCATCTCCAGTGGGGCTCTGTGCTGGGACTGCCACTGTGGGAGCCAGTGGTGAAGGTGGTCGAGGCAGGGAGAAGTGCCAGTGCTGTCAGGTACGTTGTCCTGTGCCGGCTCACCCGGGGCAGCGCTCGGCGCCTGATTGCAAAACAAGGTGTAGTTTGCCTGGAAATTATTTTCCTTAGTTATTTTATCTTACTGAATTATTGTATTTGTTTATTGCATCTGGATGTGGATTTGGAGTAATGAATGAACTGATTCTTTTTTTAAAAGATGAATACATTTATTCTTATTAATTGTAATGAGAGTGAAAGGGAAAAGGGTCGATTAGGGACCTGTGGTGGTGACCTCCGGTGTCCACGCTACTTGCGGTGAACAATATGCTGGACTCTGAGGCCAACACAGCCGTGCGGGCCCCTCGCGTGCCAGGGGCTCTCTGGAGAGAGGTCACCCAAGCCCCTCAGAGTGTTTCTGGTCTCTGTGTTCATCAATTTCAGTTATCTTCATAAAGTACCAAGGACAGAGGAAGCCAGGTGTGCACAGACCAGCGAAGGTGAAGCTGTGAGTGCTACTGTGTGAGACAGGTACGTGGCGAGCAAAGACTCCTGTGCATTAGTGGCGGTGATGGGACCAGTGTGTCACGTTTGCTAGTTGATGTGGCCAAGGCAGTGTAGCTGTTGGTCAGTTGCCGAGTCACCTCCACACCTACAGTTTATTTCACTAGCACGAAAGTGACGATGACCATGACTGCTGACGCCTTGTGGCCGTGGAAGCGAAGGGCGAGGCTGTACGTCTGCACAGCGGTGTCCTCTCCTCGCCTCTGCCTGGTGCTTTGTGGCTGCTGCCGGGCCTCGGGCGCCCGAGGGGGACGGCTACGTTGCTTCGTGTTGAGAGAGACACAGACAGGCCGTGCTCAACAGCCTGGTCTTGGTTTGGATTATTTAAGGGGCAAATCGATAGAATCAAGGGTTTGATTGAAATAGAACCGCACCAACCACAGGCCATCAGCAGTTATTATAAATGTTAAGAATATAAAATTAATAGTCTAAATTTCAAACTCCAAAAATCAGTCAGCTAACTATCACCCAGTGATATCTGCCATGAGCCCTGATGTTGGTTCCCTGATGCTGTGCAGCCTTCTTACTCATGACTGAAAGACACTGGTTCTCTTCTGGTGGTGATTCACCAGGTAGAAGTCAGGGATATTCATGTATCCTGTTCTTCAGCTTACATATATATATATATGTATGTATGTGTGTGTGTATATATATATATTAAATAATATGTTTATTTTTACATCATTTTGTGACTTTTCCCATCTCAGTTGTCATCCCCTTGGGCTTCCCATCACCAAATCACCCTGTGCCATCACCATAGTCCAGTACACTCCCCTACCCCCACCATTTCTGATCCCATTCCCCACTCCACCACCATTCTCTGGTATATAGCTGTTTGTTATTATTATTATTTTCTCGCCTGGACTGTTACACTCCTGCTATGAGTGAAACCATCTGGTATTTTCCTTTTCTTTCTGGCTATCTCACTAAGCATGATCTTTTCCAGCTCTGTCCATGTTGCTGCGAAAGGCAGGAGTTTATTTTTTTTGGTTGCTGAGTAATATTCCATTGTGTATATGTACCACATCCACTTTTGGGCATTTGGGTTGTTTCCGTGTCTTCCCAATTGTAAATAAATGATCAGCTTATATATGTTTAAAGATTTGTTTATACACACAGAACTGGGGTGTAGACCAGAGGTGCAGGGGCGCTGAGAGGACTCCCCAGAGACAGAGTGGGGGGCAGAATAAGCAAATCAGTGAAGTCCGCAGCAGAGGGGAGCAGCGGGGAGACAGGAGAGGTCTGCTGTGCCCTGTGGGTCACCTCCCAGGCCGGGGACCGAACTTGAACTGAGGCAGCTGCGGCAGCTTCGCAGTGCTGCACTTCAATCCGCTGCCCTACCAAGAAGGGCGCCCCTTATTATTATCGCTGAATGAACTATTTAGTCAACACAGATGCAGGTCAAATGAAGACAAAGTGGGTTTCCAGTGCCGGCGGGTGCCCACAGCGCGAGTCCGGGACCCAAGGTCCTCCTGCGTTGCCCCTGTAGACAGCTCTTGAGAATCTACACAAATCATGACCTTACTTGGGGTTAATAGATTAAATTTAACTATTATTAATGGATCAGTGATAGAAACACTGCAGAAATATAAATAGTAGAAATATAAATATAAATATAAAAGGGCGAAGCCTGTGCAATTGTATATATGTAGTGAGGCAAGAAGTATTCATCGATATTGAAAACATTAAAGCTCATTAAGAAAATTCTGATCGAGGGTTTATCTTTCTAAGGGACATAGAGATGGGACAGTTGTCAGTGTTGGGGGTCTCTCGAGTGTGAGGTTCTTCTTTTGGGAAGGAAAAATGTATTTGCGTTTCCAAACAAATGTAGGCACCCGAGCGGCTCAGTAAATGTAATGTGAAAATGAAGGGCTAATGGATTTCTTTTTCAATTTTCACCTGTGCTTTGTTCCTCAGAATGTCCGCATTGAACGGATTCAAGAGTTTGGTGTGGTGGTGAGCTCTCCATCACGCCCCTGTCCGGGGCTCGGGGACCCCTGTGAGGGCTGGTGAAGCTCTGCTGTGCGTATCTGTCATTTTGCATTGGGGGTGTTTTATAAGATGCCATCTGCAGTCAGCGGTCAGTGTAGCCCATCGTCAGTCTGTGTCGGCATGAACCATCATTGGGGGCTGCACGGAGGACGTTTTGGGCCCCTCATGAGAGGGCAGCATCGTGCAGGGATGAGTCCAGATACAAGATGGTGCCACCAGTGTGTCTGGGGCACCGAGTGTGTGAACTTGTGACTGTCGCTAGTGACCTAGTCAGGAGACGAGTAGAAATGAGCACAGGAGGAGAGGCCGGGCCGGGTCGCCAATGGCCACTGGTGGTGTGCGAGTTGGCCGAGGACGAGGCGTGAAACCTGAGGTCCCCACGAAGGAAACCTAGTGAGTCCTGTGTTCACAGAGCTCCTGCAGCATGTGCCAGGAATGTGTTGGGATTTAATGTTCACACGCTTTGTGTGTAGAATGGGCATGATGGAATATATACGCAAGGAGTGAAGTCTAGTAAAGTACGGGTCACGGAAGAAGTGCTGCTGGGCTGATCGATGCGGCGCTTCTGCGGGGAGATGCTCGGTGCAGAGCAAGGTGACGTTGTCGTGTTGGTTTCATGACCGAAGCTGTGCCATTCGCGGGAATGATAGCATGATGATAATACTTGTGCTGTACACAAATATCATCTGATAGAAATGTGAAATCCGTGTAGAAACTAAAGGCGTGTGGGGAAAGCGTTGGGCACGAACATATGTACGAACATATGGAGAGGCGGAAGGTCGGTAATTAAAGAGTCGAAAGTGGATGCGTGGGATGCAGAGGGCAGGCGTCAGGTTGCTTATCGTGTGCTCTGCTCTGCTGCCTCAGAGTGGACGTGGTGGGCTGGCCCAGGACCCTCTCCCGCCGTGGGCACGGGCTCCGTGGTCTCTACGAGCAACTGTGAGTCACAGTTGAGGCTACTTCTTGCTCCGGGTGTTGTTTTTTACTGGTAATTTGCTGCGTTATTAAAAAGTGTGAAGTGTAATTAAGAAGTCGTCTATGACGGTCATAAATATGGAATATGTGAAGCAAGATGTTATTCGTCTGTGCACGGAAATTGAAGAATGAACGAAAGATACTGACGTGAGAACAGGCTTTGCACGGGTTCGAATGTAAAAACTTGAGGTTTTTGTTGGCTAAAACATTTAGAAGTTGCTGCTAGTGAATCGATGGTCTTTCAGTTACAGTGGCGTGAAGCCAGAGGCGCTGCGTTGATGGATGGCCGCCGCGGGCGTGCGAGTGGGCGCCCTGACTGCGCGGAAGTCCGAGGGCAGCACGAAAGGCGGCGAGTCTGGGCCAGCGTCCGCGAGGGACCTGAGGCGGATGTCGGGGTGCACGTCGGGGTGCATGTCGGGGTGTGCGAGGGCCCTGGTTGGCCTTGGTGCTCACGCACGTGCGTTGTGCTACTGTAACTCGCTAAGAGAAAAACTATGTGAGGAAATAAAGACGAGTGGACATCACTGACCAGTCACACAACATGTAATGCAGCAAGAACTACCCGTCTGTGTAGTTCACAGTGTATTTACAGATGTGGCTAAACGTCCGCGTTTCCACTCAAAGCGAAGGGGGCTTCGCCGTTCCTGCATGACAGGACCGTACGGGCAGGACAAATAACGTGATACTCAGGATAGAGAAGGTTCGGGTGGGAGGCGACATCAGAGCTGTTCGTGTTCTTAAACGAAAACTCGGCTGGCAGCCCGTCGGGGCTCGGCTCCGGGGCTCGGCGGCACCACCCGGGTCAGCTCTGCCGCCTGCTGCCGCCTGCTCTGCCCTGCGCCCCCGCAGCGGCTCCGGCGCTGGCCTCTCCTGATCCGAAACCCCAGCTCAGGGCCATTCGAGGGCGCCGGGGACAGCTGAGTAGTGAGGCAAGTTCTTCATTCTGGTGGCTTTTTCTGCGGGTATTTAGTGTACTAATACAGAGAATAATGAGGTGACCGGGTGGTAGTAACAATTCTACCATTCATTATTTTGCTGGTTGAGACACTACTGATAACTAACGGCAGCTGTTTTGTTGTGAGGCCGATTCTAGTCCCGACGAGGGGTCTCTAGGCCTTTTTGCTAGGTTCGAAATGATACTGGGTGAAGTAACAGAGAGGGCGGGGCAGAGCCGGGCCTTTTTGTGCTCACAGCTGCCAGCGTCCGAGTCCTGGCCCGCGGGGCACGTGTCTGGGACGCCGAGGCCCAGCAGCTGGGGGTGCGGGCCCTGCCCTGCGAGGGCGCGCTGCCCGAGAGTCGCCTGTCCTGTCTGCTCCCAGGGGCTGCGCTCGGCGAGCGAGACGTCTCCCAGCCGCATGCTGTCTGTCCGCCCCGCAGCTGTGGGAACACGGAGGCCAAAGGTGAGCAGAAGTCACTCCTTGAGTTTGAGCGGCTTGTTAAGGAGTACTTACCGTGCTCTCGAAGTGCTTAAAACAGTCAAAAAGGGCAAAACCGGGCTGTGTGGGGGAGCAGAAGGATGCACCGCTGCGGGGGCTTGGTCCAGCGTGCGGACTCCAGGTGTGCCGTGAGGGAAAGATTGCAGAGGCATGCAGAACTGGGGTACGGGCCAGAGGTGCAGGGGCGGCGAGAGGCTTCACCAGAGACAGAGCGGGGAGCAGAACAGGCAGATCGATGAAGTTCACTGCTGAGGGGAGCAGCGGGCGGGTC